TACATTTATATATATATATATATATACTAAAAAAAATTATATATATATATATTTTTTTTTATAAAAATAATACATAGCATAAATATTAAAATAATACAATTTTATAATTATTATTATTAATATTCATTTATTATTATTATTATCTTCATCTTTTGACATAAGAAAATTAAAAAATTTACTTGCTAATCCCCCATTTCCTCCATTATTATTACTTTATTCTTCCCTTTAACTACTCAATCCAGGACTACTAGCCATTTAATTGCCCTAAAGTACTCCTAATTTTTATTTTTATAATCCGATTTTGACTTTCTCATCTTCACTAAAAGCTAAAACACTACTCAAAGTATCTAAAATCTACAATTTAACTTAAAAGCTTGTATTCTAATCAAAATACTATACAAGAAAATTCGAAATGACTCTTTTATCGATTAAATTATCATTTTTTAAAGTTTAATTTTTTATTTTTTTGAGAATATTATTAGTTTCTGCTTTAATGGAGATTTTTTCATTTTCGCATTCTTCGAATTTATTTTTCCAAATAGAAATTTCCTTTAAAATCTATTCTTTTTCTTTTTCTAAAATTAATTTTTTTCTAAAACACTAGAATTCTCTTTTCTTTTTCTTTCCAAATTTATTATTCATTTCTTAATTTTCGGATCTCAGTATCGTATTTTTTAGCTATTTAATCGTTTCTTTTTTGATATTCTTCATGAATTTACTATAAATTAACTAAACTTTTTTCTTATTATTCTATTAAAAGGTCCCTTTATTTTAATATCTCTCCTAAAGCTTAATACTAGATGTTTTTTTCCTATAATTAGTTATTTATTTATTTATAATTAGCATTCTCTTTCTCATATTCTTCGAGTTTTTATTAAATTTCATTAATTTTGATTTTATTAGAGTCTCCTTTTTTGATAAAAAGTGCTATTTTTTCATTTAAGATGTTAATTTCTTATTCTTTTTATTGTATAATTTACATATTGTCTTCTTTTTATTTAATTGTTATTTTTTATTGATTAATAATTTCATTAATTTTAGAATCCAAATTTTTATTTTTATCTAAAAGTATTTTATTATCCTCATTATTTTTGGTATAAGCCTCCTCTAATTTTTCATACTTATTTTTCTCATTATTTTTAACAAAAGAAATTTTATTTTAGAATTAATAGACAATAATTTAATTAACTTCATTTAAAAATTTAGCAAAATCATTAATTATTTCTTTACTTTTTTTTTCAATTTATTCATTTAGGAATTATATTTAATTATTAATGTTAATCTTGTCTAAATTTTAGGCTAAAATCTAATATTATTCAATTACTTTATTTAGTAAAGTCTTATTACTTTATCTTAATTATTCAATTACTTTCATATATCCTTCCTTTGTTTTAATTAATTAAGTTTCAGATTTTTCTTGTGTTTCTTTTATTTAATTTTTAAGTTTTTTTATTCCTCGTTTTATTATTTTATTTATTTTTCATAAAAATCCTTTATTTCTTATTCTATTTATTCGCTTTTATTTCCTTCGGTTAACATCTTGTTTATTTTTTATAATTCTTCATATTAAATTTTATTATTTTCATTTTCTTTTCTTTATTTTTCTATTTCTTCTTTTAAAATCTATATGTTTCTTATATTTTCTTATTTTTAATTTTCCATATTTTATATTAAATCTTAAATTTAATTATTTTAAGTATTACCATTTTCTTCTTCTTTTAAATAGCTTTTTTATAAATTATCGTTTTCTTCATTTAGTTTTATTATCTTCTCATTTAAAGATTTTATTTCTTAATTTAAAATAGATTTTTAATCATTTAATGTACTATTTTATTATTATATTATTTCATTTAAGTTTGTTACTTACTATGATAATAAGCTTGTTTGTTCTTTCAGTTATTAGATTTATTCACTTTATTATTGAATTTCTTATATTTTAGTATCTATTTATTAACTTTATTATTATATTAATTCATTTTATTATTTTATTTAATGATCTTATTATTGTATTTAGTCGTTTTTAGATTATATTTATTCATTTTTATATTGTATTTATTCATTTATTTATTAAATTTGTTCTTTTAATTATTATATTTATTATTAATTTATTTCTTAATATTATGTTTAATTTTCTAAATTAGTTTTTCTTTATCTAAACTTTAATTTTATTATATTATTTATTATTTTTCTTAAATAAACTATTCTAATTATTTAATTAAGTTTTAATTCTCTTATTATAATTATTATTTTTCTAATTAATATTTTTCAATTTAATTTTAAAAATTTTAATTTTCTCTTTAGCTTTCTTATTTATCTTCGAGAATTTATAAATATTTTATATTTAAATTATTTAATTCTATGTTTATATTTTATAAATCTTCATTTAATATAATATTTTATTCTTGTATTTTATTATTATTATTATATTATTATTATTATTATTATTATTATTATTATATTTATATTTAATTTAATTTTTACATGTCTTATTCTTTAATACTTAATTATAATTTAAGTTCTTTATTTATTTAATTTATATTTTCTTATTCATTATTTAATTATTTAATTTATTATTATTATTTTTATAATATATTGCTTTCTTAAAAATCATATTGTCTATTATTTTCTTCTTTTTTAAAATTAAGAATATGTTCATTTTATTCACTTTCTTTTTTCTATATTTAATTAATTAAATTTTATTTTTTTTAAATATCATCTTATAATAATTAAATATTATTTTTCAATTAATCTATTTCTTTATTTTTATCTTATTTAATATCTTATATTTCCTCAATTTTTTTTTTAATAAATTTTCTAATTTTTATATTTTTTCTTCATTTAAATAATCTTATTTATTTTGATTATTATTATGATTATTTAATTATAAATTATTATTATTTACTTAATATTAATTAATTTTATATTCCTAATCTTTAATTTAATCTAAAAGCAACTAATTTTCATTCTAAAACCTTTAACTTTTCTCCAATACCTATTAATAATCATTTTAAACTTATAAATTTTAACTACTTAATTCATTATATTTATTCAATATGTTTTCTTTTTATTCTAAAACTATAGTTTTTTCATTAAAAAGCAATTATTTTTCATCTTATAATTTTTATATTTCTATATTAAAATTTTCTTATATTTTTAATTTTTCTGAATTTAATTTTTCCTATATTTTATTTTTTTCTTCCAATAATAATTTCAAATTTATTTAAATATTTATTTCATCTTAAATTTTCTAATTTAATTCCAAAACCTATTTCTCCAAAATAAGTATATCTTCATTTTTTTTACTTATTTCTTCCTAAAACTAGTTAAAAACTTTCACCTTTTCCTCTTCATATTATTTACTTATCAGTATTTTCTTCTAATCCATATTTTATTCTATTAATCTAACTTTTTCATTGAAATTTCCTTCCATTTCTCTCAAAAGAGCTTCCTTTTATTCTAATTCTTTTAAAATATTCTTTTTTTCTTCTTCAAATATTACCCTATCATCATTTTTTAATACCTAACCTTTCAATATTTGAATTTCTTAATTCTTTTCGTCCAATTCTTTTTCGAATTATTTTTTTTTTTTTCCAAAACATTCAATTAATCTTTAAAATTTTCACTTTTTTTTTCCAGTCTTAAAATAATCTCTTCTTTTTCTTTTTTTATTTCTAAAAAATCCCTCATTTTTTAATCAAAATTTTACTCTTTCCACCCTTAAATTTTATTAAAATTATCTTTATTTTATTCTTCCAACTCTTCAATATATTTCTTATTTTATTAAATTAATTTTTCAAAAACACTGTTTTTTTCAATAACTTCATTATTTTTTAAACCTAAAACCTTATTCTTTTCATCTAAAACCTTAATTTTTTCCTCTAATTCATTTATTTTTTACACTAAATCTTTATTTTTCTCATAAACTTTCTATTATTCAATTATTTTAGATTAAAATTCTAATAATTTCCCTTTAAAACTGTTCATTTTTTCCATAAGTTGGTTATTTTCTTCAATGTATTTCTATAATTCACTATTTTTATTGATTAAAGTCTATTCCTAATGCAAAATATTCTCATTTAATTTAGAATTTTCTTTCTCTAATTTTTCCTTTGAGTTTTTAAGTTCGTTTCTTTCCTTTTCAATATATAAATCAATAAATCCTTTTAACTAAATATTAGTATTTTATTCGATTTCCATTTTCAATTTAATTTCTTCAAAATCTTATTATTAAATGAGTTTTTATAGAATAACCTAATAATTAAACTCTTCATTTATATTAAAAACCTCATCATTTACTAATTATATATTTAAAAAGCTTCTTATTTCTTCTTTATCTTTTTCAGAAATATTTTCAAAGGAAGAATTAAGATTTTCATTAATTAAATCATTTAATCTCTCATAAATTTTCTAAATAATTTTCTCTTTTATTTTTTATACAAAACTGCTTGTATTTTCTTTCAAAATGTTTCTAATGGCTTCATTTGATTTCTATTGTTTTTAATCTTTTTCATTTTATTATATTAATTTTTGTAAATCTTCGTTATATTATTTTATTAAACGAATTTATTCAGGAAGCTATTATTATTATTATTATTAATCTATTTATTAGAATACAGGTTCTTTTGATTTAGAACCTATACCTTTTTGGATAAAATTATTTATACCCCACATTTTATAATATATTGTTTATATTTTTATATTTTTAATTATAAATAAATTAATTTTAAAAAGATTTTATTTTAAAATTTATTTTATTTACGTGTAAAATTATTATTTTATAAAAAAATGATAAAATAGTTTAATTATTTAAAAAAAATAAATAAAAAAAATTTAAATATATAAATTTATATTTATTTAAATAATAAAAAAAAATATATATATTTTTATTAAAAAAATAAGATATATTTAATAAGTTTAATTTAATATAAATAGAAAAAATATATCTATAAAAATATTTATTATAAAAAAAAAATCATATTTATTTCTATATATTTTATTATTCAAATTCTAATTTAGTAGTAGCTAATATTAAAAATTTAAATAAGTAAATAAATATATAAATATAAATATAATATATATATATATATAATTATATATATATTTATATATATTTTTATATATATTAATACTTCTTTATGTTAATACTTTTTTTAAGGCTTTTTATTTTGTAACAGGATTTTCTCTATCATAGTCCTTTATACATTTTTAAAATTTTTAAATTAATATATTAATAATAGTATACCGTATCAAAAAACATTTAAACATCATCATAATTATTAATTTCCTATTCACCTTGATTTTTAAATATGAAATCATTAAAATCTTGCATAGGTAACATTAAAACAATTAAAGCAACAATAAACATAATGATATTATGAATGTCAAAGTATTAAAATAATTAATATTTAAAAAAAAAATTTCCAAACTTTTTTTAAAAAATTATATAAAAATAAAAGATATAATTAATTTAAATAATATATTTTAAAATACACAATGTAATAGAATGCAGTATTCAATCATTTCAATCATTTCAAATGTTAGTCCCTTTCCAATATTTTCTTTAACAGTTCTTCTATAAATAAGATTATATTTATCCGCAAAATAATAAATAATAATTCCTAAAATAGACCATAAAGTTGCCATAGGAATAGCAGGTGAATAAAAGAAGGTAAACCACATAGTTTTCATTACATCAGCATATCTTTTTCCCATAGCATAATCTGGATGTTCCATAAGTCTTAAAAATAAAATATATTAATATTTACATATATAAATTCATTATTACATATTAGCTTATTTTTAAGTAAGAGTAGATTTATCACCTTTAGCTAATTCTTTATTTCTTTAATAATTTTTAGCTATACTCCAAGGGTCAATAATCCATGCCAAACCTGGAATAATTGCATTATTAATAAATACAAGATATTCTCCTAGAATCATTCCTCCTCCAATTCCATAATAATTCTTGAAAAAGATAATTTCTACAAAAAAAGTAATCAGTGCAGTATTAGTAAATAATGAAAGAGTAAGTTTAATTGCAAAAGATATATTCAAGCTTGTTTTAGTAGACCATTTTTCCCTATCAACGATCTAATGTATTAGAAAAGGTAAAAAAACTTATTAAAAAGTACAATAAATAACGAAATAATAAATGATATAGACTTTATATATATAATATTATCATCATTTACTTTCTTATCCTTATTATGTAGTTGTTGTTCAAATAATTTCTCATAAGCATGATCTATCATTAAAGATTATAGATACGACAATAAAGCAATAACACTAAAAGTAAAAATTGTTAAAAGTAAAGTAGCTAAATTAGCAATTGTTCTAGCTATTATTTTCTCTTTTGTAGTTGAATGAATATATTCCCAGTCTATTTCAGCAGGTTCTGGGGCTTATTATATATATAAATGACGATCTTTTACATATAAAGAATCTTAGTATTTTTCCGAAGCACCTCCTTTGAAATAATTAACTAGTTTTTTGAAAGAATTAGTTTTATTATTTTATAAAACATCAATTTTTTCTAATTTTTTTTTATTAAAAAATAATAATAATAATATATTTACATTATTCAGTTTAAAAACAAATAATAGCCTATCCAGTAAATTTATTTGAATCATTTTCTATATTATGTTATAAATTATGTAATTAAGAGTGCAAATAATGTATTTCAACATCAATTTCAAGCACTTTAGGGTTTTTCAGATCAAAATTATCATTCAAAATATTTTATTTATCTTTAATCTTTTCATCTATTTCTTCTTCGAGTAATAAAATTTCCTTAATATCATAAACTAAAACTACTTTAGTAACCTAAACTTTTTTTCCCTATACTGATTCTTCTTCGAAAATTTTCTATATTTCCTTCTTTGTATTAGGGAGATCTTTAGGGATATTTGCCACAAAAACTGAATAATCTGCCGGAGTAACATTTTCTTCATCGACAACATTATCCATATCTTTTTGTTATTTTCGGAAATAAACAGTTAATATAAGTTACACAATCATAGCCAATAAAGACCATATTGCAAAGCTTTCATGACCTTACTAATTTATTATATTAGCTAAAGAATATTTCACCACACTATTTTCAACACAATATTCTATAAATTTCTTTTTCGGATGTTCTTTTTATTGTTCTGAATGCTTAAAGGCTTTTAAAGAAGATGAATGACAAAAAGTACCCTAGCTATGTATTATTATATTTGGAATTCCTTATATTAAGAATAAAAAGGTCAACATAACTACACAGTTCTTTAAATAATTATAAAATAAAGGAAATCCTGGTCCTAAAAAGCCTATATCTATTAAATTTACCCAAAGGTTTATTGGTTTTCGATTCTTTTTAATTTTTTTTTATTTTTTTTTATTTTTTTTTATTTTTTTTATTTTTTTTATTTTTTTTTTACTATTTCATAACCACAACATTAACAAATATCTTGAATTTAGTTTTCATCGCCAATTTCAGGTTTTGTTTCTCTAGATTTCTATATTAAAAAAAAAAATATATAATTTAAGTTTAATAAGTTATAATTAATTAAAAAAATTATTTACAGCATGTAATTTAGCTAAATCCCAATTTGGAGGTATTTTAAGATAGTCATAGTTATCATCTTAATAATAAATAATAAAAAAAAAAAAACATTAATTTTTTTATTTTTAAAATAATTTTTTTATACCATGATTATGTTACTATGAGTGCTTTTTTTTTCTATTTTTTTTAGAATTATAAGATTAAAGTGAAGCAGATTCAAATTTTTAAAGTAAAATAGGAGATTATTTATTTTATTTTTCTTCATCATTATTAAAAGAATGAAAACCTTATTATTTAAAAATAGTATATATAGATAAATGATTGAATATATATTATCATAAATACATATAATTAATTTATTTTTTATAAAAATATTTTACTTGCCTTATTTACTAAATTATTTTATGGTTTTTAAATTTATATTTAATTCATTAATATATATAAAAATATTTTTTTTTATTGATTTCTATATTGGTAAATAAAATTTAAATAATTTTATTTTATAAAATTGATTATAATTTTATAAAATAAAATTGATTATATAACTTAAAAATTTATTTTTATTTTCAATTAATTAATTAACTTAGTTTTTTTTAGTTAATTATTGAAGTAATGATTATTATTGTTAAACTTAAAAGAATTTAATGTTATAAATGAATAAAAAATAACGAATAGAGATGTCTTATTTAAATAAATATTTTTTTAAAAAATATTAAAATAAAATAGTCATTTTAAATAATTAATTTCGTTAATTAAAATAATAAAAGATAGTATATATCATTAAAAAAAGAAACATATAAACACAAATATTTATATATTTTTTTTTAAAAAAAAAATTAGATTATTATTCATAATTTATTTTTAATAATAATTAAAAGATTTAAATTTTGATTAAAAAAAAAAAATCAAAAAAAAAAAAAAAATGAACGATTAAAAAGCTTCATTATTAATATCAATAAGCAATGTTGAATTTTAAAGAGATTATCACTATTTTATTACATGTTAAATGGAAAGTGAAGGCGAGAAAGTAACAAAAATAAATATAAACTAAAAAAATCAAATAAAAATAGCGTAGAACCGATATTAGTGCATGTGTAGCAAATCCAGTATTTACAGCAAGCACATTTGTAATACCATTATAATAATAAAGAATAGATATAAGTGAAAAAATACATGTAATAATAAATTAAATAAATAGAAATAATAAAAATAAATCCAAAATTAAAAAAATAGTTTGCAGCTTTTGTTGTATTAGATAGAGGTGAAAATAACATATAGGAATTGCATTCAAAAGGTTAAGCAAGATTATTAGGAGAATGTAAATTAGAATTAGGTTCTTCGATTCCTGCTTTAATGGATTTTAGTGGAATCGGAATCCGCTAAAGTTTAAAGTTTTAAAGAATTTCAGGTGATAAAGAAGTTACAGTAGGTCGATTTATTGTCAATATAAAATTAGTCGTAATCTAAAAAAAAAAAAAAATTATTATAATTAAATTAATAAAAAGGCGGAATAAGTTATACCAATAACTAATTAAGATGATATAAAACCATTAGACAAAGAAGATATTTTCCATGAATTGCCTTTAGTTGACCCTTTTTTTGATTTTTAATGGCGAGTTAGAGTCGATATTAGATGTGGGGTTGATTTACCTTTAAATAGGGCAAATCCATCTGGCTTACCATCTCCTTTTGCAGGTTTTAGATATATATATATATATTTATTTTTATTTTTTTTATTTTCAATAGAGGTTGGATATACATTATATAATAACCAATAGCCTAACATGCAATAACTTTTTTTGACAAATATAGTCGAAAATAATAGACATCCAATATGGAATTCATAATTTTTACTTTCAAATCCTGAAGATATAACACGCTAAGAAGGATTCATATACATATGCTTCAGAGACCAATATATTTCTCAACCTTTAGACACAATATATATCCCTATATAATATTTAAGACCATTTATCCCAATAAATTTAGTATTATATATATATATATATATATATATATATATATATATATATATATATATATATATATATATATATATATATATATATATATATATTTACAGGAATTTTAAAGCCAAAATGTAGAATATGAATCAAAATCAAAATACTATATATCATTAACTTTAGAAGTTCCAAACTAAGAATCTTTTGTAGACGGTTTAGTAGATGTAATTATCCATAATGTCCATTTTGATCCACTTCCATATACAAACCGAATGTTTATAGTTATGACATTAAATGGTTATAATCCTTAATCGTAAAAAAAAAAAAAAAAAAAAAAAAAAAAAAAAAATAGTTTGTCTTTTATTCATATAGACTTAGACAGTCCATAAAACATTGCATAGAAAATTATGGAAAATTAATTAGAATTAAATGCCTGTTTTATATCTTCCATATTAAAAATCCCTCCATTTTAAATACACAAAACTTATAAAGCAGTTGCATATTTTACACTTCCAAGAAGTTATTTATCTAAACAAATCCTTTTTTTCCTCGCAGGAAAAGACGACTCAATCGCATGTCCACATTAAATGCCAAACGGAATTGCTGGAATGAGTTTAGAATAAGACGATACATTAAAAAAATTAATGTTTGCAAAAGAAAAAAGGGCTGCTTTTGTACCTTTATTGTGGAAAAAAGACACTAAACTATACCCTGTATTTTCCACTACTAAATGTATGTTAGAACTTGCCTGTTTTACATAAGAAGATTAAAAAAAAATACTATAAGCCGAAGGACTTAAATAACTAGAAGAATAATAAGGCGAAAACCCGAAAAATCCAATGGATACTTTAGCTGGTTATTTAGGTGTAAATGTACCCTAAAATATTGGAAATAACGAAAAATGGGGAATACTAGCCAAAGAACTAGCCCAAAAATAAGAAATTGTACACAGAATGATTAAAGATCTTGACGATAAATCTGAATCTTTAAAAATTACTGGTAAAACTATTAAAAATAACAATATTATTATATAACAAAATAAACAATAAAATAGGAGTCGAAATAGTAGAATTACGTCGATAGATAAAATTATTATAAAGCGAAAATGCTATATTAAGGAAAAAATTAAACCATGATGAATAAATAGAAGTCTAAAGTATAATCTAAAAGGAAATTTCAACCATGAGCATGGAATAATTAAGACAAAAAATAGTAAAACTAGCCACCGCATATAGAGACGAAAGAATAAGAAACGAAGATTTCGAAAAAGCCTTGAAAAAAACACAAAAAGATATATCAAATGCCCGCCAAATAGAGTATGAATTCGAGATTTTATAAAAAAAATAGCAAGATGCTCTAAAAAAAATATCTTCTTATTAATAAGAAATATCTAAAACAAGTTTACTTAAAGAAACAATAAGAAAATAAGAAAAAGTAATCGAAAAACTAGAAAAATTAATTGAGAATACACTCAAAGATACTCAAAATGCTCGAAAATATTAACTAGAAGCAGAAAAACTATAAACAGAAAATATTAATTTATAAATATAATTAAAAAATAATGCCTATGTAATAAATAATACATCATAAAATTAAGAAAATAGTTCCTTAGATATATATAAATAAGAAATAGTTAAACTCTAAAAAGTTATAGCGGATTTATAAGGATAATTACATAGTAAAAATCCATAAACAGTGTAAGATTATTAATGGGAAAATGAAAAAGTAGAATTTGAAATTAAATTGCATAAAGCCACTTCCAAAATTGAAGCTATGGAAGAAGAAATGCTTGAGAATGCTAAAAATTATGCAAAAGAAATTGCTTAGTTGAAATTAATTATTGCAGTAAATAATTTTATATATATTTATAATAATCCTTTTTTTTTTTTTGTATACTTATATATTTTATAGGAAAAATAAGCTATGTTAGATACTTTAACTTTAGGATTTTGATTTATATATATATATATATAATATTATTATTTATGGATATTTTAATTAAATTATTGTTTTTTTTTTCATATTGCTTCTAAAGTTTTTTTTTTTATAAAAAAAAATAATATTTTATGTTTTCTAATATAGTTAATAATATAAAATACGTTTATTTATAATATACTTTTTAAAAAAATATAAATAATAAAGAAAATAAAATATTAAGTTTATTAAAACTAAGCCTTAATTATTTTACTTGTTAATTAAATAATAACTAAAAATATTGTTTTTGTAATTATTATCAGTTAGAAGTAAATTCTTTTTTAGAAAACAATATTACTCTTAGTATTTATTATCCACCCTTTTTTGTGATCATTACTATGTTAAATGTTAATGCAAAAAAATTAACAAGAACTCAACTCAATCTTTTCACATAATAATTAAATTATTAATAAATTAAACATCGTTTTTTACAAAAAAAATTCTATTTTAAATTCTTTTTCTAAATTAAAAAACTAAAAAATGATTAAAAGCTTTTAAAACTGAAAATATATTTTAAATATTTAAATCAATTTTTTTTTTTTTACATATTTAGAATACTTTTAATTATTTTGCATTACAAAAAATACCTTATATAATTTTAAAAATATTTTATCCTTCAATCTTTTCTCACAAAATAATATAAAAAGTAACCCCTAAACTCCAAATATCGCAATACTCTCAATATTATAGATCATTTATTATTTAAATGGATATCTAATTTAAAATATCTACTATCTTTTTACTAATATTTATACAATGATATTAAATATAGTAAGAAAGTACAAAGAAAATCGTTTTTAAATTATTATAAGAAAATAATATACTTTCAGGTTTTAAATTTCTAAGTATTACTCCTAATATATTTAATTAATAAATATGTTATTAAGTTTATTTTTTTAAAATTACAGGATTATTAGTTTAATTATATTTAATTATCGACTATTTAAATATTGTTGAAAAAAAACTATTTTTTTGTTTCATATATTAGTTTATTCATAAGAAATATATTAATATCAATTAATATTAGTTTCATTTATTTTTTCTTGGAATTTAATTTTATGTATGTATATTTTTAACTATATTTTTACAAATTTAAAATTAAATATAAATGTATATGAAATTTTTTTGTTTAAAAAAATAAGGTTTTTATTCTTAATTTTTATTCAATAACTAATTATTAATTTATTAATAGTAATATATATATTTTGATTTAATATCTTTAATTTTATTTAATATTTTTAAACTAAATATTTTAATTTATTTATAAAAAATATAATATATTTAAAATTAATTTATATTATATTTATTTTCATATAATTTAAATGATATTAAAAATTTTTTAATATAAAAATAAAAGAAGAATAAATTTACAAATAATAAAAAATATAATATTTTAAAACAAATATATATTTTAATATATAAAATAATTTAATAATTTTTATTTTAATATAAAATAATAGAAAGATATAATTATATTAAAAAAAAAAATATATATTATAAAATGAATCAATTTTAAATTAGTATCAATTTCAATATAATTAATTTAAAATCTTATATAAAACATTATTTCACTAAAAAAAAAATATTTTTAAAGTTTCTTAGTTAACTTTATTATTTATATAAAAAATATCTATATAGGTTTATTAATTTAAAAAAAATAGGATATACGGGGAGTCGAACCCCGGTCGAAGGAATCAGAATCCTCAGTGCTAACCACTACACCATACATCCAGATTGCTAGAATTTATTGTACGAATTAATAATATTTATATTGTTTATCTAAAGTAATAAGGAAATAAACAACTTATATTTATTAAATTATAAAAAATAATATAAAAATATAATTAATATAAATAAAAATTAATATATAAAAATATTTTTGATTATAAATTTTTTTTGATTAAGAGTAAAAAAAAAATATTTTTTTATAATTAAAGTAAAAAATAATTATTTTATATAATGTAATTTAACTATTATAATGATAAAATAATTAATATTAATTTAATTTTTTTAAAATATAATATTTATAAATAAAATAAATAATTAAAAATATTAAGAATGTAAAGGATAAAGTTTATTAAATATATATATATAAATATATATAAATATATATTATATAATATATAATAATATATTTTAAATTTAATTTTATATTTATTTATTAAGATTTGATTAAAATAAATAATTATACAAAATAAATTATTATTATTTTATTAAATTTTAAATATAAATAATATACAAAAAATAAATAATAATAAATTTTATATATAATAATTTTTATATATGATAAATAAATTAAAAAAATATATAATAAATATTTATATAAATATAATACAATATAAAAATAATAAATATAAAAAATATATTTTTAAATATTATAAAAAAATAATGTAAAATAATTTACCTCTCTACGCAACATGTATATTATCTCCAGATGGAAATTCAGGAGTAAACGGCTTAGTTAAGCTTATTTAATAAGGAGATTATACAACTATAACGGCTACAATAAATGGTTTGAAAAAAGGTTTACACGGTTTCCACATTCATTAATTTGGAAATTTAACAGAAGGCTGTAAAACAGCAGGACCTCATTTTAATCCTTTTAACAGCACTCACGGAGGACCACAAGATACCGAAAGACACGTAGGAGATTTGGGAAATGTAGAAACATTAGAAGATGGATAAACTACTCATTTTAAAATCGTTGATAAACTTATTAAATTAGATGGATTAAATTCTGTTTTGGGAAGATCTTTTGTTATACATGCTGATTAAGATGATTTAGGAAAAGGAAATTTCGAAGATTCAAAAACAACAGGACATGCTGGTGCTAGATTAGCTTGTTGCACTATTGGACTTTCAGGTCCTTTCTGAAATCAAATTTTTTTCATACATATTATTTTAGCAAATAAAAAGAAATTAATATTTTTTATATATTTTTTTGATTTTTTTTAAAATATAATTAATATGTTTATTTATATAATTATGTATATGAATATGATTTTTTTCAATATTTATTATAAACATATATGATTTTTAAAGATTATCTTTATTATTATTATTATTTTAAAATTATTAATTAAACTTTTTTTTTAAATAAAATCTTATTTCAGGAATTATAAATTTTGAATATAAATATTAATTTATATTAATATATAAAAAATATTAACTTTTATAATTAATAAATAATATATATTGGTTTATAATATTCAATTTATTTTTAATTTGAATATATTTATGGACTATAAATTATTATTTTTTACATAATAAAACGAAATTTATAAAATAAATAAATAAAATATTCAAGTAAAGAAAATAAATTAAATTAAAACTATAAAAATCAAAAAAATTAATAAAAAAATAAATCAAACGAAAATACATTAAAATATTGAATAAAAAAAATATAAACAAACATAAAATATATATATATTTATATAATTAAAAAAAATTAAATATTCATAAAAAAAATAAAATAAAAAAATATATATATATTATATATGAAAAAAATAGATAATTATCAATTTAAATTACTTCATATAGTCGGAAAAGGTGCCTCAAGTACTGTTTATTTAGGCGAAAATACACTTACAGGCGAAAATGTTGCAATAAAAGTAATCGACTTACAATAAATAAAAGATGAATATACCTGGAGTTTAATTAGTCAAGAAATTTATATAATGCAGAAACTTAATAATAAAAACATAGTGAGATTAATAGATGTATATTAAACTCAAAATAACGCATATATAGTAACTGAATTATGCTAGGGAGGTGATTTAATTGAATATATGAAAAAAAATAAGAATAAAATTTCCCAAAAGGAGTCACTGAAAATAATTGAAAATATAATTTTTGGATTAGAACATTTGTTTATGCATGGGGTGATTCATAGAGATTTAAAACCCGCTAATATATTAATAAGCGAAAATGGAAACATTTTTAAAATTTCCGATTTCGGCTTTGCTAGAAAAATTGAAAATGAAGATTTTTTAATGAAATCTTTAGTTGGAACTCCCCTATATATGTCCCCATAGATTTTAAAAAGATAAAATTATACATATAAATGCGATATTTGGAGTTTAGGTATAATTTTCTATTAATTAATTTATGGCAAAACACCTTGGCCATCTAATTCAGTTATTGATTTGGTAAATAATATGTTCTAAATGCCTCTTTTATTCCCTTAATATGGACAAAACGGTGATTTAATAGATGAAAGCGTGAAAGAATTTATAAAAGGATGTTTATAATTTGAAGAAAATGAAAGATTTTCTTGGGAAGATATAATGAAGAGTTAATTATTTAACTAAAATAGAAAAAGTACAAAGAAATTAAATATAAAAAATAATAGTAAATTTTTATTAGAAAGTCCATATAAACAGACTTAATAATTATATGAATTAGAAGGAGAAAAAGAAAGAAAAAAATATTACAATAAAACTGAAGATAATTCGCCGTAAATATGTACAGATAATTAAAAAAGTACAAAAAAATAATAATTTTTAGACTAAAAAAATAAAATAAAAATAAGTAAAGATTTTCCAAAAAAAAACAAAATGATTAAATTATCAATTTTGGTAATTAATAATCACCTGCAACACCACCATTAACTTATATTAAAACAAATTAAGAAATAAATAGTTATAATCCAAAAAAAGACTTAATTTTAAATATAAAATATTCATAAGATAATAATAATAAAAACATAATAAATAATAATAGTTAAGAATAAAAATATAGAAAATTTTTTTAAGAATTTAAAACTTAAAGGTAAACTTAGGATATTAAAGGATAAAAAACAGTTTCGAAAATAATCATAAATAATAAAACGAATAAAAGTAAAACAGATATGAATTAATATAATAATAATAATAGTAAATGTAATAATAGTAAATGTTATAATAATAATAATACTAATAATAATAAATATAATAACAACAATAATAACAATAATTATAGCAACAATAATAACAATAAATATAGCAACAGTAATAACAACAACAATAATAATAACTATAATAATAATAATAACAACAATAACAACAATAATAACAACAATAACAACAACAATAATAATAATAATAATATTAACAATAATAATAATAATAATAATAATAATAATAATAATAATAAGCATTTAAACAAAATTTAAAAATAAAATAAGAACATTATAATTAGAATGCAAAATTTTTATAAGAACAATTAGGAAATATTATACGTACAGTTAAAATAGATTTAGGAAAATAATAAAATATAGCTAACAAATTATTAAATAATTCATCATTCAGAAATAATAGATCAGTCACCCCAAAAAAACAAATTAAACAACTTTTATCTAAAAAAAATCTAGCAAATCAACAGTTTAAAAATTTAATAAATTCGCTACTATAGCATTTTCAAGTAGTAGTTAGGATGAAAAGTAAAAGCAATAAAATTCAAATATTTTAAAGAAAAATAATTTTAATCCTTTTAAAACAACAGTTGATTAAGTAAAAGATTACAAAAAGTACAACCGAAATTCAAATTTAAGTAATTCATATAAAAATGTAAGTTTATCCCCTTAATCAATTCAAAAAAATAATATAAGCAAATTTAAATAAGATAACAAGAAAGAATATAAACAAGAAATCAAATAGGAATATTAATTAGATAATAAAAACGATTTTAAATAGGAATAAAAACCAGAAAATAAATAAGAAATAAAACAAGATTATAAATGCGATTATTATAAATCTGAAATCGATTATTAGAAATAATATGGAAATATAAAAATATATAAAAATTCTTAAGAATAATATCAAAAAGCATAAAATTTAAATCGAGAAAACACTGAAATATTACAAACAACTATAAATTATTTCAAATTTCTTATAAGTCTATATAAAATATTAACAAATTCAAATTTTGATAAAAGCTTTACTCAAAAATTTTTAGTTGAAAAAATCTAATTTCTTTTATTAAAAAACTGCTTTTCTAAATTAAGCTTTTTACATGAAAAAATGTGCTAAAATAAAGAAAATATTCTACTTTTATAAAATTGGGATTAATTTTTAAATTTCGGAAAATTTGTAGAAACATAAACTTAGTTTTTCCTTCTATTTAATGAATGTAAGTCTTTTTTAGAAAGCGAATATAATAAATTAAGTTCTAATTTTTTATTTTAGTAATAAGTTTTGACTGATATAAAATTTTAAAATGCCTTTACAAACTCAAATATTGATGATTTTGAATTATCTTAAATAATTCTAAATTTTTTAAACGTAATAATATTAAGTTTGAATGATAAATTAAACTTAAAATATAATAATTTCTCAAATAAAAATGATGTGGCTTCTTTTGAAATTCTAAATAATTTTTTAGTTTTATATGATATTCTAAAAATAAGTTCTGTTAATTTACATAATTTTTTTTAATAAATTAATTAATAATTTTTTAGTTTTATGACAAAATTTAACTAAACATATAATTATTTAGTTATTATGCTTTAAAAGCCAAATCATAATTAAATAGAAGAAGTTTATTTAAAAATATAAAATTTATGAAAAAATAAATATTAAAACAATTAATTAATGTATATAAAATTTATTTATTTATTAATTTTTTTTTTTTTTTTCTTTATATATATTTTTTTTATTTAATTTAATTTTATTAATAAAAAATATTTTATTAATTTATTTATTTTTAATATTTTATATATATTTTTTATTATTTTTTTATTTAATATTTTTTTTTTTATCATTATTTTCAATTTTATTTTTTTATTTTCTTTTTCTAAATTAATTATCTTTTCTTAAATGGTTTTTTTTATAATTTTATATTTAATTATATTATTTATAAATATATTTAATGAATTAATATATTTTTTATATTTATAATTAATTTTTAAAATTTATTATATAAGTCAATTAATTTTGAAAACATAAAAATTTATTTTATTATAATTTATTATATCATTCATTAAAATTAAATATATTTATTATTAAATTTTTTAAAAAATATTAAATTTTTATATTATTTTCATATTTTCATCCAATCATCTTATAAAATCTTTTTTTTAATAAAAAATTTAATTTAAAAATAAAAATAATTTTATAATACCTCTTTTGTACTTGGTCTTTAATCTGGATTTATATTTAAAGTTCTAATAATAAGGTTTTTTAAAGAATAAGAAATATCTTATTAGCAAAATTATAGTTAACCTTTTTTATTTTGGCATATAAATCTCTATCTGTAATTCCTTTAAAAGGAAAATTTCCTTAACACATTACATAAAGTAAAATTCCTAATGCCCAAACATCAGACTTTTATCCAAAATATTCAACTTTAGAAATAATTTCAGGAGCCATATAAGAAGGTGTTCCACAAAATATATTTAGTTTTTTATTATCTGGTATTTGTAAACTAAATCCAAAATCAATAATTTTAGCATTATTCATATTATCAAGCATGATGTTTTCTAATTTAATATCTCTATGAATAATATTTTTTTCATGGCAATAATTAATTCCTTCCACTATTTATTTGAATATTTTCTTTGCATTATCTTCTTATAATCTTTTTCTTGGTTATATTTTTAAATATTAATTAAGACTTATTTTCCCAATATATTCCATTATCAAAATAATTTACTTTATATAAATTAATTTTTTTTTTTTAACTAAAAAAAATACATTTTAATTATCTTATATTGCATAATAAAGTTTCATTATAGAATTATGTTCCATTTTTTTTAAAACTGTGATTTCTCTTTTTACGTTTTTCAATTTTTAAGAATCTAATAGTACAAATCTTGGGTAAATTTTCAAAGCATATTAAATAAAAGAATTTTTATTGGTTGCTAATTTAACTATTGCAAAAGAGCCTTTTCCTATTTCTTATTCAATCTTGAATTAATTAATAGTTATATCGAAATCCAAAAAATCTTAATAAAGGGGATTTCTTTTTTAAATTTATTATATTTCTACTTTGTTCGTTTTTTCTTTCAATTGACCTATCATAGTTTTGGTTTTTAAAGGTTTTTCTATATTTTTTTGATTATATTTAAATGTATTTAAATTTAAAGTCTTATTGTTCGACTTTAATTTAGGAGCTTAAAATAAATTTAAGATTTTTTATTTTAGTATGGTAAATAAAGATTCTTGACATTTAAATTTAATTAATTAGTTGATTTTAAAGTTTTATTTTGAAAAACATTATAAATTGCAATTGCTGGTTTTTCTATATTATAATTATAAATAAAATATTCTTTTTAATTATTATTTACTTATATTTTAGTTTGCTAAACATTTTATTTTTTCTCTAAAATTGGATTTTTATAAATAATATTATTATTTAATAGCTTTTTATTTTTTTCTATTATTTTTTTGTTTGCATTTTATTTTAAATCAGTTGGCTTTTTATTGACTGTTAATTTATTTAACTTACTAAATAAGTTTGTATGTGCTTAATTTCTTTCTTTTTTCTTGAATTCTTGTAAAAAAGCTCCAAAAGAATTCTTATTTATTTAATTTGCTTTTTCTACTTTTAATTTTATTTCTACTTTTTAAATCTTGTTAGCTTTTTAACTTTATTGAGAATTAAAAGATTCAAACTAACTAGATTCTATGTAACGAGTTTGTGTTCTTTATCTTTTAAAACCATTATTTTCTACTAAGTATTGTTAAGAATTTTGTTATTAAATTGATGATTGTGTCATAGCAAATCTATTACTTATATTTTCTGATCTACTTATAGTAGTATTTTAATTTGAAATAGATTTATAGGTATTATTATCTTTAAATAATTAATTTATATTTTAATATAATACTTTCTTATATAAACATTTATTTTACCAAGCTAAACTTTTGTTTGCACTTTTTTTGCTAAATTCATATTATCTAACTTTTATATTTTATTAAGATACTTTTAATAAGATTTCATTTTAATAATTCTTTCTTATTTTTTAAGTTTTGCTTTTGATTTTTTTGTTTAATAATTGATAATTTTTTTTATTTTTTTTTTTCGAAAGTTAATATTTTATTTAAATTTGTATTTATTTTTAAGTTAATGAAAAAAAAAAATATATATATATATATATATATATATAGATATAGACGAACTTGTATTATATCAATTTAAATATTTTATTATTATAAATTTATTTAATATTAATTTATCAACTATGATTAACAAAAAAAAAAAATTCTTTTCTTAAATGCTATAATTATTTTTTTCTTCTTTCATTTTTAATTTAACATCTCATTTATTCTTTTTTATATATAAAGTATTATTTATGTTATACTTTATTAACATGATACTTATTAAACCAGCTTGTATACAAACTGAATTTAAATTTCATAATATATAAAAATGAAAACAAGAATATTTATAACTAGAAATACTTAAAAATTAAAAAATATTTCTTTACTAAATATAAAATACATATTTTACAGTCTTATTCTCAGACTTTATATAACTCACTCTTTAATAATACCAATTCCTAATAGCCTTTTTTTAACGTCTTCATAGAGTTGCATTGAAATAATTTTTTCTTTAATAATATCATGTATATTTATTTCCTACAATGCTAATCCAAAATCAGTATTATATTTTATAACAAGGCAAATATATTAATAAAGATCAATTAATCTAATTAAAAACTCAATAACCATTCCTTACTCTCTGCTCATTTAACAATTATCAGTAATCTTAACCATATTAATAGAACATTATTAATAAACTTAAGTTAGGAAATCTCTTAAAAATCCAAATATATAAAAATAGAAATTTTTGCTTTCAGAATATAAAATTTCGACATTTTCCACATTAAAAATATTATTAAAGTTAGCATTATTTTAAGCCAATTCTTTAAATACAGCGTTTTCACGAAATTTATTTTAATTACTTTAAACAGTACTCATAATATGGGTATATAATTATTATATTGTATTAATAGTTTAATTAAAATTTTCTGAATTTCTAATTTCTTCCCAATTTTTAATTTTGAGAGTATTAATTTTCATATCAATTTACAAAACTTTAAGAATATAAATTTAAATAAGAAGGTGTTTATTCAAAAGAAAAACTAGAAAATCAAACATATTTTAATCTTAAATTTAAATTATACCTTTAATGTTAATTTCGGCTTAGTTTTTTAAAAATCTAGAACATTTTATTAACATAAGCATTTTAGATATTAACTCATTATTGTGTTCTGGCTTTATATTATTATGATTTGTGTTTAAAATATTTTTATTTAAATTAAAGTTATTCTAATATATGTTACTTCCTTCAGTTTTTAATTTTGTATGTAAATCTCTTTTAAAAGGAGATATAGAAAGGTTTTTTTAATCTTAAATTTTTTATAAACTTTAAGGCGAAGAATAATAATTATTATTATTTTATATATTTTAATTTTATAATTTAGACATACTTTGTATATCAATAGTTTATCGAGAAAAAGGTTTTTAATATGTATTAATATTCTATATCTATGTATCACATTCATTAATTTGATTGATTTATTTTTATTATTATTATTATTATTATTATTATTATTATTATTATTATTATTATTATTATTATTATTTTCGTTATTATTTATATTAATATTTATATTTATATTATTATATTGATTATTTTTTATTACTTATTAATATTATTTTTATTCATTATTTTATGGTTCAATTTTAATTTATACACAAGTTTTATTTTTATTATTTTTTATTTTATTTTTAAATTATAATTCTTCATTTACCTCATTATTATCATAATATTTTATAATAGGAATTTCTTAATATTTATTGTTTAAAATATAATTCTCTTATTTTGTTTAAGGTATTTAATTATTTTAACGATCTTTAGGACTTTATTCTTTTAATTTTTAAATCATAAATTTATTATAATAATTAAAAAGTGAAAATGTGCATAATTCCTAAATCGTAAATCTTTCATCCTCCATAAATTTAAGACATTTTTAAATAAAGAATATTAATTATGATGAAATCTACACATTTTTAGGAAATTACAATGGAAAATTACTTATTTTGAAAATCAAATCCACTAAATTACTAGCTGGCCAAGGTGTATCACCATAAGCTAATTCATAAATTATAATTCCAACACTCCATACATCACTTTTTGAGGAATATTGATTTTTATGAAGAATTTAAGGTGACATATATAAAGGTGTACCAACTAAAGATTCCATTAACTAATCTTAAATATTAGTTAACTTTTTCGCAAATCCGAAATCTGTAATTTTGAAAACTCCGTCATTTATCAAAATATTTGCTGGTTTTAGATCTCTATGTATAATACCATGATTTGCAAGTTCAAATAATCCACTTATAATTTAAGATATAATACATATAATCTCATTTTCCGCAATTTTTTTTTCTTTTTCAAAAGTTCTCTCAAGTCGCCTTAATTGCAGAATTCTTAGATTATATATGTGTTGTTTTCAGTTTAAAATACATCTAATAATCTCACTATGTGTGGATGTTTTAATTTCTTCATTATATTTATTTCTGATTATAACATTTTTTGAGAATATTCAGTACGTAATAAACGCATATCTACAGCTTTTATTGCTACTGGCTAGTTTGTTTATTTATGACGGCCAATGTATACTGTACCTTGTGAACCTTTTCCTATGCATGCATTTGTGGAAAAAGCATAATTTTATATCTGTTTATTGGGTTAGAGATTTTTTAGTAATTCCATTTATTTTAATTTATTTCTTGTTTTTATTTCTAAAATTAATTACTTTTATTAATTTTTTAGTTTAATTATTTTTATTTATTAATTATTAATGAATTATCAAAGTAATAATTACTTCTATTAATATTTTATGCTTTTTTTTAGTATAATTTAATGATATATATATAGACATATGGTTATTTAGTCAAATTTTTTATTTTTAAAAAAATCGAAACATATTAATTATATTAAGATTTATATCTAAAAAATTGCAATTATGGCTTTTGCTTTTTTTTTACTTATATCGACTAAAAATATTTATTAATTAAAATAATTTTATCAAAAGAATTATATAAAAATATTAAGATATTATTTAAATTAAATATAGAAATTTATTATATTTACTTTTTATAAAAAATATTGATTTTTTTAAAAAAATCATATTTAATTTAAATATATAATTAATATTTCATCACAATATTCAGTTTTTTATTAATTATATAATATTTATTTTTTATATTTACTACATATCATCATTATATTTTGAATAAAATATTTATCTCTTTAGAAAAAAATAATAAAAAATTCAACCTATTCTTATCAAAAAACATACTTTTATAAAAAATATATGTAAAAAGCAAATAAATTTTCAAATTACAAATTTTAATCGTTAATATCTTAATAAAATAAAAAGAATATTAATTTTTATACTTTTATATATTTAATTGATGATTAAAAAAATTATGTTTATTTTTAAATTTTTAAATTTAAAAATATAAATTCTTATGCAAGTGTAAAAAGAAATAATATTAATTTAAAATATTTTAAGTATTAAAATATAAAAAACATATAATTAATTTTAATTATAAAATATTTATACATAAAATATATAATGGTAGTAAAATTATGTATAGTATAATAATAAATATATATGTTTTTAATATTTTTAAAAAATAAATTTATTTTTATATATTATCATTCATTTTTATATAAATATTATATATATATATTTAAATTTTTATAATTATTTATGTAAAATTATCGGTTTGCTTTAAAATATATTATATTTACTTTAAATATTTTTTTCAAATGAAAATTATTTTTATATAATAATTTTAAAAGAAATAAAATTAATATTTTTTTAAAAAATTATTGAAATTATAATTTTTTAATTTTCTATTGTTAATTTTTTTTTTTTTTATATAGATTAATATTATTTTTTTTTCATTTTTTATTTAAAAATATAAAATATTTAATATTGACTAAACTAATAAATTTTTATATTAATTTAAAATTTCTAAAAAAAAAAAGCAAAACA